GTTTTTTTTTCGTTTTTTTTTCGTTTTTTTTTTCGTTTTTTTTCCCTTTCCCACTTTTTTTCTTTTTTTTTTTGCTCTGAGGGACCACGGATAAGATATGAAACTGATGAGAACATATACTACACTTGATCTATTTTTTAGCCAAAAGGTATTTGCCATCTATTCGTTTTAGAGTTGTTGTCACCCTTTGTTGAAAGTTTCGGTTTGTTAGCTCTGGATGTCGAACATTTTTAAGGGAAAAGAACGGAAACAAAGGGAAAAAAAAAGAAAATGTTAACAGTTCAAAATTCTGTGTCTGTATGTTTCTGGCTGTGTTTCACGTGCTTGGTCTTTTGCTTTTCTTTGTTGAATATGACAGGTGCTGCGGAAAATTGACATCAACACTGTGATTTTTTGGGGCGCAAGGAGCTTTGTTCATGATCTGTCATTGTTTGTTTGTATTGCAAAGTTACCACTGCAGAGTAATCGATGCTAGTCTTTGCATGTGTTAAAAAAAAAGGGTTAAAAAAGGGGAGAAAAAAGGGAAAAAAAAGGAAGAAAAAAGCAATCGAAAAAAGATAGAAAGGGTTGGTTACCTGATTAGGCAGTATAGGCACAAGTTTTCTGAAGTCAGTCGTTTCAGGGAAAGTTCCGTGCTCGTCCTCCTGTGCAATTTGAAATAGAAATTGCCAAATTGGCTGTTTGAAAAAGGAAAGAACTGCAGTTGAAAGTTCTTTGCATTGCTAAGGAAGTGTTTTCATGAAGTTGGTTGTACCAGAGGGTGTGCCGTGAACTAGCCGGAAATTATTCTGGATTCGAGTTTTTTGCAGAAGCTCTTTCTTTTATTTTGCCTTTTTTTTTTTCCTGTTTTTCTTTGGGAGTTCGAGTTTTGCAGCAACTTCTTCTGTATTTGAAATTTTGAATTCTTCAGCACACTGTTTTGGATCTGAGTTTTGCCGCAACTTTTTCTGGATTTGAGTCGTTTTTCTGGATTTTTTGTTTTTTTAATTCCCTCCTGTTTTTTTTTTGTTTTTTTTTTGCAATTTTTAAAACAAAACCATATGGTTCTGGCTCCGTGTCCATTCTGGGGAGTGTCAGTCCGGTTCCTATTCCACCGGCAACGGCAGCAAGTCAAAAAAATACATCGATTACATAACTCCAACGCTTTTCCCCGTTATGGTTGAGAGATACAAGAGGGCGGCATTGATTACTTCCTTTCGGAAGGATGTACCTCCCGTCCCCCCTGCCTTTGTTAGCTTTTTTTTTTTTTTTTTTTTTTAAACAGGTCCTTATGGTCCTCGCTCCATATCCATTCTGGGAGCGACAGTCCGGTTCCTTTCCACCGTGCCAGGCCTTTGTTAGCTTATTGATCTAGCCTCTGATCCTACTCCACTCCTCTTGATATTGGAACTTGCATCTCATCTGCCAGGCCTGTCTCCTATTTACCCTCTGCTGCCTGGATGGCCTGAGTCCGAAACCCCCAAATCCATACCCCTTCCCTGGCTGTCTAGTGGACAGCTGTGTGGGAATCCTGTAATTTAGCTTAATTGTGAGCTGTACCTGCCTTGGACTAGGTCTTCTATACACTAGAACCCTCCTGGATTTGAGTTTTGCAGCAGGGGCTTTTTCTGGATTTGAGCTTTGTAGCAACTATTTCTGAGTTTGAATTTTATAGCAATTTCTTTTCTTTTGTGGTCACGTATGTATAGTAACCATAGTGCCATTCGTTGACCAAGTACATATGATAAACATAGAGCCATCGTTAACCAGAGCTTGGGTGTTGCTCTGTGCAACCAGTCAAGTTTTATATCAAGGTGAATTTCTTTTTCCCTTCTTTTGTCTCCTCCAGATGATGCTTTTGATCACAACCATGCCAGGTGGTCTGTGACGAGTTGAGATCGGGTGATCACTGCAGTTCTTTGGCAGTCAGGTGTGAGCCAAGACAACTTGAGAGAAGAAAGGCATTCATTGGGCCACAGATAGTCGTCACTCCCTGTGTTTGCAGGGTCTGAGGGCTGTGTTCCGTAGGGGCCCCTTAGTGGGCCTTTTGGGCACGCTCAGTGCGCCCTAAGTGGGACCCTAGTGGGCCCTTAGTGGGCCCTTAGTGCGCCCTTACTGGGAACAGTGGGCCCTTAGTGCACCCTTACTGGCCCCTTAGTGCGCTGTTAGCTGCCCTTAGTGCGCCTTCAGTGGGCCTTTAGCGGGCGCTTAGTGTGCCTTTTGCACACCCTCGTGTTGTTGGGTATACAATCGGCAGAAGATGGCATGTGGAGGTGGACTCTTTAGGATCACTGGATGGTGCTGGCCATAAAAGTGGGGCGACCTTTTGTGGGCATTGGTGATAGGTGTGCTTGGCACAGGCAAGCGGCTTGGTCACATTTTACTGTTTTTTGAGTGGAAAGCTGCAATGTTATGTCGGCCGAATGAGAGTACAGCCGGACAATGTGCATTGGTTGTGGCGTACTTCAGTCTTCATCGGGAATTCGCATGGATGTTTTGAGTAGGGGTTCTTATCAAGCATCGGTGTCCCGGTAGTGTCTCTCCAGTGGTCAGCAAAGTCGGTTGCACATGTTTGCATTGTGTGTCATTGTGCAGCAGGTTTCGATTCAGTCGCTTGGTCGGTGGATTGGTCCATCCATCACTCTGCTCTCTCCTTACCATGCTCTGTCCATCCCCCTGCTGCTGTGCATTATGTGTGCAGCAGGTTTTGATTCTCTCTCTCTCTCTCTCTCTCTCTCTCTCTCTCTCTCTCTCTCTCTCTCTCTCTCTCTCT